GCGCAGGGGGGGGGGCATGGGAGGCCCTAGCCAGAGACTGAAGCCCCGCGCGACCCAGGCAGCGTGAGCAACGCTTCGGAGACATAGACACAGCACATCGCCACACACGCGGTCTGCGTAGTGGCTAGGGTTGGAAGGGGGCTCATTCTCAAAGGGCCGCCCCGCCGCACCTTGGTCGCAATGTCTCGCCGCACGTGCTCGTCGCTGCAGCCCTTGAGGTACAGCATCAGCCGCTCAACGATGACCTGGGGTGGGGGGTGTGAGTGTGCGCGTGAGTGTGTATGTGTGTGTGTGTGTGTGTGTGTGTGTGTGTGTGTGTGTGTGTGTGTGTGTGAATGTTTGTCCACGGCTTGCGTGTGCGATGGGGAGGAGGGACGAGGTGCGTCACACAGGCAGGTTCAACTTGACAGGTTGAAGGGAAGCCTGTTCCGCGCAGGCAGCTGCGCGGTTCCCCATCGCCGGCGGCACGCTCAATTCACCACTCGCAGAGCCGCCTGGGAGCACCGCACCAGCCGATACAACTGGCGTGAGCGGAGCGCGCCCCCTCGACCCCCCCCACCTGCACGTTGTTGGCCTTGGTCATGGTGGCCAGCAGCTCCAGTGTCTTGAGCTTGAGGGTGTCATCGGGGTCCTCCAGGCAGTCAATGACGGCCACCTTTTGGGGAGGGGAGGGGGGGTTAAGGGTTTTAGGGGGCAGGGTATAGGGTGCAGGGTTTAGGGTGAGTGTGGTGACGTCATTATTGACCGTCGTGCGGGGAGGGACGGCGAGACGCGCCAGGCCGCGGATGGCGACCGCCCGACAGGGGTTGGTGAGCGGCGCCACGTCGGGGATGGTCGAGCGACGTCAGCAGGGGCGCCGGCCACGATGGACGCGACGCCAGGGCGCCGGCAGCGTATACCACCAAGATTGATGCAAGGCATCGTCGCGTGTCCCACCACGCGCCCGTCCCAAGTGACGCTGCCCGAGGGCACATCCAAACACACACCGAAGCCTGCTGCTCACGGCACGAGCGCCCGATGAAGACCGGAACCGGAACAACCCACATACATGGGGTCCGAAGGGCCCCGTTACGCACTCCCCCAAACCAAAAAAAATGCAAGCCCCCCGCACCTGGTGCTCCATGGCGTACTTGGGGCTGGTGCGCGTGATGCCTGCCAGGGCGTCCAGGCCGCAGTACCGCAAGTTGTGGCTGCTGGAGCGCAGCAGGCCCGTCACGGCCTCCGCCGCCGCGGCCAGCAGCTGGGGGCTCGGGTAGATGGCGGTGATGGTCCTGGGTTGGGGGGTGGGGTGGAGGCGTGGTGGACCTTAGAATGAGCGCTGGTTTGGATGCTGGCTTGGATGCTGTTTTGGGTGCTGGTTTGGGTGCTGGAGGTGTGAGAGGCGGTCTTCCAGCATGAGCCAGGGGGCGAGATGATGCGGGCTGGCAGCACGAGACGGCCAGAGGTGCGGCCATGCCCACAGCCCTGCACACACCCGTGCTTCCTTGCACGCAACACATACGCTGTATGCGCCCGCCCGTGAACACGCGCCCATACGCGCCCATACAAGCGAGCCACGCGCGCCCCACCTGACGGCCTCATATATGATAGCATTCCCGATGGTCTGGCCCCCGCTGGCGCGCTTCAGCGCCCCCGCCACCACCGCCGCCATGTTGTCTGACGCCGCCTTGTCGCCCGCACCCAGCTTGGCCAGAACGCGCAGCAGCTTGATCTTTGGGGGTGGGGGGGACAGGGCGCGCGTGTGTGGAAAACGTAGGTTTGAATATGTGTAACGTTGCAAGCGTCGCTGTTATGGTTGATAGTCAGGTGTTTTTTTTATGCGATTTGCCTGCCAAGGGCCAGCGGCCTGCTGCTGTGTCCCAGCCTCGCCCTCTGCATACCCAAACCCCATGCACCCATCCCATGCGCCCTTCTCGCCAGGCCCTCCCTCTGCCCTCCTGGCTTCCCTGCGGCCGCGCCCCGCGCACCTGTATGAAGGGGGCTGGGAAGCGGTGGTAGTCGTACGACTTGGGCAGGCGGTGCTCAGCCACCTGGGGGGGGGGGGCGTCATCAGCGGGGTAGGTGGGGCTGACATGGATGGGGTGAGGTGAGCTTCCTGCCCACAACTGTAGCGGAGAAACTTTCAGCTGCATTGGTGCGTTCATATCGCCCACGCACAAAAGAGAAGAGGTGTCAGTGCCAGCATTTGGTGGGACCTCCGCAACCTGACACACTTCAGCAGCCATATGTGTTGCACCAAGAGCTGTGCCCGCCTCAAAAAAGTCCTCGCCTGCTTGAGTATGCTGGTGAGGCTGGGGATGAGGGCGCGGTAGGGCGCGGGGTTGATGGCCGCAACCTCCTGCAGCGCGCAGAGCGCCGCCACCATGACCCCCGGGTCCTTGTCGCACAGCGCGGTGCGCAGGTGCTTGTCCACGTCATGGTCTGATTGGGGGGGGGGGGACGATGATGGGTGGGGGTTTGGGATGTATGCAGCGTGAAAACGAGGGAGGAGTGGAAGGTTTGGGGATTGGTGGCAAGAGGATGAGGGAGGAGCGGTCGGTCTGCACATCACAGGAAATGAACCAGTGAGGTTCTTGAGCGGGGCGGGCCGGGCCCGTCATCCCCCTCATCACGCCGCCTCGCGCGATCACAGCGCACAGCGCCACTCGTCTCGTGCCGCCGCTGCGCGGCGTCGCGGCCGCCCTCGGCCCGCGTGGCGGCCGCCGCGCCCCGCCCCGCGCTAGGGCTGGGGAGCGCGGCCGCCACGGGCAGAGGTGCCCCGCGCACCCTGCAGCGGCCCCGTCCTGTGGGGGTCCAGGCGTATGAAGTGGTGCAGGGCCATCACCGCCTTCTTGCGCACAGCCTCCTTGGGGTGCGTCAGGCGGTTGATCTGGCCATGGGGGAGGGGAGAATGGGGAGGGATGAGGGTTGTGTGTGAGAAATGGCAGGGTGTCGGCCTGCTGTTGGCCTGGCCCGGGCTCCTTTTGTAGGAACGGGCTCAAAGAACGAGGCTGCGGTGCCCGTAGGAGGGCTTGGAAGGCAATCAGGCGACAGGACGCGCAAGGTCCGCGGCCGTGAGGGCGCTGGGCGCCTGCGAGCGACGGGCTGCTCGCAGGCGGTCCTGGCGGTGCGCCTCCCCGCAGCATGCTGCTCCTGCCGCACGCATCTCCCCTTTCCTCCGGCCTTGGCCGTGCCAGCAGCCGCTGGGCCCGCTGTCAGACCTTCCCTTGCGCCTTCACTGCCATCGCCACTGCCGGCGCAGCCGCTGTGCATGCGCACGATGCCTGCGCGCCCCGGGACGCCCCTCAGCTCCGCAGCCGCCCTCAACAACCCCACCCCCAAACCAGCGGCTGCACAGCGACAAACTCTGCCCCATGCCGCAGCCCGCGCACCGTGCGGCCTGCCCCCCGCCCATCTGCAAGCCAACACTGCCTCCTAATTCCATGTGCGTGTGCCCCGCGCACCACTATGGGGTAGACCGCGTTGACCAGGTCCGGTCCTATCAGCTTGCATGTGACCACGAGCGCGCTGCAGCACACCACAAAGTTGTCGCTCTTCAGGTCAGACAGCAGCGTGTTGACCAGCAGCAGCACCAGCTCGTGCTTGTAGTCCAGCAGCTGGGTCAGGGCCAGGTAGGCGGCCTGGGGGGTGCCAGCCGTGGGGGTGTGTGCATGCAGAGTGCGAATTGGGCGGCGAGGGCTTGTCGAGGGAGGTGAGGCGGTTGGGCGAGGGCTGGGGCGAGCGTAGCCGGGTCTGCTGGGGCTGCATGTGTGGGTAGCGGAGACAACAACGGCACATGCGCGTGCAAAGCGCTCGCGCGCACGGAAGGGAAGCGGCGCTGCGGCGCGCATTGCGTGCCATCGCTGATGCTGCACGCGCGCATGCGCCCCCACCTTTTTCGTCAGCAGGTTGGTGTCGCTGGCAAACTGCAGGCACGGGATGTACGCGAAGCTGGCATCGTGGCCCAGCATTTCACAGTACATAACGCGGACCATGTATTCACGCCCGCGCGATCTGTCCAGCTTGGGGTCACTCAGGCGCTGCTTGAGAGTCTCCAGCTCCGCTAATATGATGCGGTCCTCCTCAGCCTTGCTCTTGCACTCCCCGATCGCCTTCACTAAGTTGTCCAGCTCCCTGAAGCCAACCTTCAGGGCGCTCACATCCCGGGCCAAGCCCTTGATTTGCGGCAGCATTTTTCACTGCCCTGATTCGTTGAGATGTCGTTAGGGTCGCGCACACGTTCGGTTTTGTGATCTATGAGCTTGGATCGCCCACCGGGGGCCGGTCGCGGTTTATCAATAGCCTCAAATAGACATTACCCTTGAACGCGCGTACGTTATGCCTCGAGAGCATCGATACACTGCCTTGGCGACTCGACACGGTCACTGGCGAGCAGCTGCTGCGTGTGTCGCTCACGACCGTGTCGGTTGATGAGTTGAGGTAACCGCAGCTGTTGGCGGCTGCAGAGCAGGCCCGGTGGAACAAGGCAGCCGTAGCTAGAGACAGTTGATATGGCAAAGTTGAACACTGTGAGGGACGCACGAAAACGCTCGCCCAACCCAAACGCCCGCCATGGGTGCTGGCCCCATGCTCGCAGCATGTCAACATGCAATCTTCTGGCTCAAGTGAATTAGACCCGCAAGCGCTTGAACCAGCGCACGTCTGTTACTTGGTAAGGGTGCGGCATACTGTGAGGGAGTTGTTGCAAAACACCGGGCGTTTCGACAAAACCAAGCACACGTCGAAGGAGGGTTTGCCGCAAACACTGCTGCGAGTTGTGATGAAGTTTAGACCCAGCCTGTGGGCCAAGCACGCGTATCCAGGCGGACTAACCTGAGCGGGTGCAGCAAAAACGCAGCAGTGCAGGGAGTATGAGGTGCGTGCTGTGCAGCGGGGGGAGACTGCCTAAAAACGTGTACCCAGAACACCGCTCCAACATCAGTCAGCCTTGCACAAACTGCTAAAAAGCACGATTTCGC